CTTTCTGGTTGGTTCTGGTAGTTAGGGTTGTGGTGGCGGTGACGTAAGCGGCAGTTGTTCGGTAAGCTTGACCTGTGTCTGTAATTTGAACGAGACCAAAATAAAATTTTCACAGCTATACTTCGCTACGTACAGTCTGCACAAGCTGCTGTTTCTTACATTTGGCTTGTTTGGATCTTCCTCTTCGTCACCGATTAAAACCTAGTGTGTCTCTATCCGCTCACTATAATTGGCAACTGTGTATATATATATAACTGTAGCATTTTTTAAAGGAATAAAATAAATACTTACTTTGCTTCTCCAAATTAGTGTTTATACGCTTGTATTCCTCAGCGGTTTTTTCGTTCATAAAATATTCTATTGTGTGTAGAAGCAAATTGGAGATTGATATCAAAAAAAATAGATAACATTTTGAAAACTACCTTCTGAATCTACCATCAAACCAAATTAATGACAGTTTTTTCATTATCGTTTTTTCATAATATTAAATTAAATGACACACCGAACTTGTGGAAAATGAAATTAGATAGGGCCGGCAAATCCAATCAATTATATATGAGAGCCGTGTAGATTCACAAGAAGTGAAGAATTTGAATTTTTTTTTATTCACGTGAAGATTAAAATGAGAAAATTCTGTTATTTGAGCAATGTATGTTTGATATTGATATTGTCGCCTACGCCGATACTACTATGCTTTTTTGTAGTACAATATTTAAATTTGATATTGGATATACAATATGCCGTGACTTTTGACGAAGGCAGTTAGTTGAATGGTGAAGGAATTGTTATCAAAGCGAGTTTCTGCCAGAATGGTGGGTAAGGGTTGCACATGACATCGTTATCAGCAAAAAATATATACCAGTTTTTAACTACGATGAACCATTCCAACAAACCATTGATGAACCATTGTGTGTGGCTTTAGTTAGTTTGTTGTGACATGTACCGAATATAAGTATATTAATATTAAAATTGTAGCTCATCAAATTCATCATCAATTCATCAAAAATTGTAGGTCACTCTCGTGCTTGTATATCATTTGGTTTAGTCAATGCCTCAAACAGATTGCGAAGTACTTTAGAGATTATGTTTTCATTGTTATCGCACTTGTTCGTTAGTCATTATAAAAACTGGATGAAATTTAATGTACGCAGTCAAATTGCTCCAAAATCATCAAGGCGATTGTAAGGTGGGAAAATAAAAGTTAATGTAATTCGAAATAGTGTCAATTTATAATTTTTCTCTTTTGACTCCACTCTGCACGACCAGCAAGAGCAAAAGCAACGGATGCTTTGTCATTGTATATTACTTCGGCAAGCTGATATAAACAAGCTGTCGAAAAGAAGTTCCACGCCTTTAGCCTGGTGTAAGCAGATTGTAGACTAGCTGGAGCTACGTAATCTTCAGCCTAGTTGATCTACGGATTTCAAAGCCCCGTAGACCTTCCGCAAGTCATCTTGAACTGTAAACAAAAACCACACAAAATATCAGAAAAGCTGTTGTTTAAAAACGACATAAATATTAAAAGTAAGAAGAATTTGTGGGAGGACGTAACTAATATTGTTGAAATCAAGTATTGTTATAGCGGTGGTGATGTTACTTCGATAATACAACTTTTTTAGTTCTTTAATTGAATGTGTTTCAAATGTATGTATATAGTTAGTTACAATACCGTCGTATAATAAAACTAGTTACTCAAATTCAAGTCTTATTACTCACAGTTTTAAGTAACATCTTTTCACTCAAGCTGGAGTGGTGGTGAATGTGATCGTGGTGTCACTGCAATAATGAAAAATGTGTTACATTTGTATAAAATATGTGTTAAAAATGCAATCAAAACTTGCAAAATAAGTCGTGACGGTTAATTTATAATTATTAGTTAGGTCGTAATAAAAACATTTGTGTGCGTTACGTTTTAGTCAAGTACAAAATCAATACCCACAGTAAGGCAGACTGATGTCTTCTTCTGCTACTGCCTCTAGCTGCAGCGATGTGGATTCTGAAGGTGACGGTGGTGGCAACAGTGGCGACGGCGGTGTAACTGCAAAAATGCAACTACAGTTAAAATTTTTGTTGCAAATGTAACCAACATATTTATATTTTGCCTGATAGAGCTCAAAGCATAAATACGAGTAAAACTCACGGAAAAGTAGAGCTATGTCTTGTTCAGACATCGTGTCTAGAGGTAGCAGTGATGATGGTGCTGAAATCAGAAAATGACAAAGTAATGATGGTTAAGGTGGAGGGAAGTTAAGTTACGGTAAACTGAATAGAAACCCAATACTCACTGTAAACTAGACTTAACTCCTTCTCTGTCTTCGGTTGTAGAGTATCAGGGGACGATGATGGTCCAGCATCAGCAAGGTCAGCCGCCAACCCAATCGACTGGCATTCGCTTCTCACCAGGCCGCAAACGCTTGTCATCACCGACAGTCTCTTCCGAGAGCTTGCGTTTTGTTGACTGCATATTGAAAAGTAGAAAAAATTTACAAACACCGAAATCAGGGATAACGTTAAATGTTGCCAGTGTGTAGCTTTATTATCTCGGACTTTAATTTATCTATAAGTTATTTAATATCAGTACCAACAAAAGTACTAAATAGAGATTTTATATTTTATATAGTGCATAAAGAACATTTCAGTTAAAATTGCAAATTTATTTTCTAAGATGTTAACTGCTATGAGGACAAGGCAATAAAATGAGTGTGACTTACATTTGAGTCGTCCGGATCTACATCGTCTTCACCACCACTTAATTTTTATTAAATATTCTATAGTATGTCGGAGCGAATTGAGGATCGATATCTAAAAAAAGGAACAAAAACTTCAAACTCGTCTTACGCGCTGTATATTTTGATTAAGTGTTCTTGAGGTGAATACAATAACAGATAAATACAATAATGAAGCAACATCAATGAAGCAATACGAGATAAATCAAATATACTTATTCGTTCATATCATGACCCTAAAGCCAACTTCAATTGCTACAGTTCCTCAAATACTAATCCAATACTTAAAAAAAAGTACGCGTATTTGATTTTCTAACAAGAGAACACTTTCTGGTTCTGGGTTGTGGTGGCGGTGACGCAGGTGGCAGTTGTTTGATAAGCTCATCGTTCTTTCCGACCTGTGTCAGTAATTTGAACGCGACCAAAATAAAAATTTTAACAGCAGTATTAAGAAACGTGAAAGGTCGATCCGCTATGTTAACTGCCCAAGCTGCACTTTTTATCTCAAATTAATAAAGTGCGCATTTCTTACATCTGGTTCGAATCTTCCTCTTTGTCACCGCTTAAAACATAGTCTGGCCCTATCTGCTCAATACAATTGACAACTGGAACAATACACACACAGTTATGTTCAGCAATTTGTAATTTCGAACAAACACCATTTTAACTTTGAAGGAATATATGGGTTATACTCGCTTTGCTCCTCTAATTTGGCGTTTATACGCATGTATTCCTCATCGGTTTTTTCGTTCTTAAAACATTCCACAAAATGTTTCCACAAAGCAGTAAAAATTTTAAAAGCGTTTATGATTAAAATATTACTAAAAATAACGTGAGTTCTATTATTCACTAAAATTGTACTCTTCATAGTATGCACATGTTTCCACGCCACCTATGAGGTAGTTTGCTGGGCGCGTTTTTTTTAATGTGGTTTCCCCGGTAGGCATATTCCACAATCTATTTTATTAAAGTTTAATGACATTTTAAGTCATCATATTAGTCAACTTCGTCTCATCTTCCTCTTCCTGAGTCGACGTATATTGGTCGATTTAGCTTTAACCCATTAACTGTGATGCGGCTAGAAAGCTATTTAATATTATAATGGCATGTTATGTATTGACTTTTGATTGTCAGATGGCAGATTCCGCAATCTTGTTATCTCTGTCATAGCCCGATCATCATGTGGTCGATTCAATAATTTGTTGGCGTCCAAACCTGATAAAACTATGCCTTCCAAACTTCTGACATGACTTAGCGCGACATACATTTGTCCTTTAGCAAAGTATTTTTTTTGCCAAGCTCTGTCTAGGGTTGGTCCCTTGTAGTTTATGGACTGTTACCGCCCAGCTCAATATTAGAGGCAGCATACGACGCTCTACATCTCCGTAACGCCATATTGCCTGAAATGTAGTACTTGATAGAGGTATAGGTATGAAACCGTCTCTATCTTTTAGCCTAACAGCAATTGTATCACGTTGTTAACGTTGTCAAATGTACACGGCTCCCGGTAGCTCCCCTTCCTCCAGTTGGTCTCTACTTAAATCAAATCAAATCAAATCAAATCAATTTATTAGTCTTAAGGCCGGCCATTTGATTTTTTTATGCCCATAGCTCCATTCACTAGCCCTTCTAAGACTGCTACATTGCGTCTCAACATCACTCGGGATCTGACGCCAATTTTTATTGAAAATAGAAAACCACCACAGTTATGTCTTTGGGAATTACGTTGTCCGGTGTTTCCTGCCATAGGTCGCCACTTCACGAGACTCATCTACTCTGTTAGTTTAATAAGTCCGGAGCAACTTTGCTTTTCTGTACTCATTGTATCATTATAATCGTCAACTTGCCCAACCGTAGGAAAAATTCGAACAGCAACTCCATCCGCAAATTCACCATTTAAAGGCACGTGCCACCGCTCACATAATAACTCCAACTGAGCCGTCGTCGGTTAGCCTACCCTTAAACTATTCAATAAATCGATAAATTCGGTATCATCAGGCTGTCCCATATTTATGGTTAGTTCAGAAAAAGAAAACTGATGCCATAAATTTATCTCCGCAGAGAGGCTGTAGAAAACCGCATTGGTTTTCTACAGCTACAGCATGAATTGTTTTTAGATTCTCATAAGAATCCATACAAATTTCATCTATAATTAGCCAATTTATGTAACGCCATTTACGCCGTTCATTCTCAAGTCTTTGCCCGCTCATTTTTTTGTATGACATAGTATTTCCTTTCTCAACTGGAAGCAAAAAATACTGTGTAGCGTTGTTCCAAATATCTATCGGGTGGCAACACCAGTCAATGACCCAACCTCCACAAAGCTGGGTTTCAGCAGTGTATCTACTTTTAGTGCATAACAACGCTTAATATGATCCACGATTAATTGTAAAAGAAATGATTTACCAATTCCACCCGTGATAAAAAGTAACAGTTGACTCTCTTGACCATGTAAATCATTTTCGATTGCCAATGAAACTTTGTGAAACAAATTCCTCTGTTGGATATTTAATCCTCGGATGCTGCTCAGCAACAGTTCATCCGACATGAGAGCTCGTTCTTTCATGTCTTCGCAGAAGGTTTCATCGCGATTTACAATCTGCTCATCAGCACATAAGACTTGAGCATTGTCTACATGGGTTTCACGTGCAGCATTAAGCGCGGTAACTTGGGCGAGTGCCTGTTGAATAATAATTAGCTCAACGCATGCAACAGGCGGCTACATTCATAGGAGCTGCAGCACCCTTGGCACCTCGTGCATGGGATCAAATAGGTAATAATACGATGTTCTGTAATGAACTGCTAGTGAGATAGCGTTTGTTGTTAGTATTCCACTAGAATATTCTGAGAAAAAGCTTCTTAAAGCATTCCTCAAGTTAGGAAAACCATCAGTACTGTTGTCGTTATCTAAGTGACCATTAATATTGGTTTCTTCAAGTTTCTTCAATTTTTATCGTTCGACTTTTTTTTAAGTGTTCTTGAGCTAAATACAAAAAATAAAATATCAAATAAACACAATATTGAAGCTGCATCAATAAAACAAAACAAGATAATATGGCTGGTCGTTAATAACATGACTATAGAGCCTACTTTAATCGCTATCAAGTCATCAAACACTAATTCAATACTTACAGAAAAGTACGCGTATATATATGCGCTTGTACTCCTTGGTTGTTATTTCATTGTTAAATATTCTATAGTATGTCGGAGCGAATTGGAGATTCATATCTAAAAACATAGGAACAAAAATTTCACACTCAACTTCTCGAGTAATAAAACGTCAAAATTTCATAAACAGATTTTCCATTCTACCATCGAACCAGATACTGCCGTATATCGCATTTTATGGTCAATGGTCATCTAGATATATAAAAATAAATCAGAACTATCTTTGCTATCAGTTCCTCAAATACTAGTGCAATACTTACAGAAAAGTACGCGTATTTGATTTTCTAAAAAGTGAATGCTTTCTGATTCTTGTAGTTAGGGTTGTGGGGGCGGTGACGTAGGCGGCAGTTGTTCGGTTAGCTCATCGTTTGAACGAGACCAAAATTAAATTTTCTCAACTATAAACGTGAAAGGTCAATCCGCTGTGTTAACTGCCCAAACTGCAGTTTATCATAAATTACTAAAATGGGTATTTCTTACATCTGGCTTGTTCGAATCTTCCTCTTCGTCACCGCTTATGTAGCCTGGCCCTAGCCTTTCAATACAACTGGCAACTGTAACAATACACACACATAATGTTGTTCAGCGATTTCTCATTTCGAACAATTTCTATCAATAACAATTGTTATACTAACTTTGCTCGTCCCAATTAGCGTTTATACGCTTGAATTCCTCAGCAGTTGTTTCGTTCATAAAATATTCTATTGTGTGTAGGAGCAAATTTGGAATTGATATCAAGAACAAAAAAGAAAAAAAAATGGTATACGCAGCATTGCCGGGCGTCTTCCTTCCTATCAAATAAGTACGTTATAGATACCTATGTAACTGAGACATAATTGCTTTGCTAGCAAAACTAATATTGCTTGTTATAAAATTAATTTGTTTGTTTTATACGCTCTAAGGATAAAGGGTTTATACCTCTAGGTCTGCCGTATCTCAGTTTGGTCGTTTTGATATCTATAAGTACCTGTTATATGTTCTGGCTGCTGGCCCTGACTATTATTAGTTGATTCAGCGCGTAGACCTGATGGAGCTCCATGTCCATCAACTTGGTCCATCCATAGAGTCTATCGCGCTGTATATTTTCATTAAGTCTTCTTGAGCTGAATACAAAAAATCAATATCAGATCAACACAATATTGAAGCTGCATCAATGAAACAATACGAGATAATTTAGCTAGTCGTTGATAACATGACCAAAAAGCCTACTTTAATTGCTATCAGGTTCTCATATGCTTATCCGATACTTACAGAAAAGTATGGGTATTTGATTTTCTAACAAGTGATCACTTCCTGGTTCTGGTAGTCCGGGTTGTGGCAACGGTGACGTAGGCGGCAGTTGTTCCGGTAGCTCATCGTTCTTGCCAACCTGTGTTTGTAAATTAAACGAGACCAAAATAAAAATGTTAACATCAATACTAAGAAACGTGAAGGGTCAATCCGCTATGTTGACTGCCCAAGCTGCAATTTATCTCAAATTACTGTAGTGAACATTTCTTACATCTAGTTTGTTCGAATCTTCCTCTTCGTCACCGCTTAAAACTGGTCCTATCCGCTCAATACAACTGGCAACTGTAACAATACACACATATTTTTCATTTCGAACAAACACCATTTCAAATTTTGAAGGAATAATTATACTTACTTTGCTCCTCCAAACTAGCGTTTATACGCTTGTATTCCTCAGCGGTTTTTTCGTTTATTAAATATTGTATTGTGTGAAGGAGCAAATTGGGAATTTATATCTAAAAAAAAAAACAGAAAAAATTTTTTACGAATATCAAACTCCATTTGTCTAATAAAAAAGGCCAAGGTTTTATACCTTCCAATTCTACCACCAAACCACATTGATGGCAGTATAGCATTTTATGGTCAATGGTTATCTAGACATAGTGTGTGTGTTAGTAAAAGTAATATTGCTTATAATACTCATTGGTTATTTACGAACCAATCACAAAGGGGTACCGAATGCACCTCTCTAGGTCCACCGCGCCTTAGTCTGCAATATTTAATATCTTTACCTGTTGCGAGTTCTGGTTGCTAGCTCTGACCCTAACAAGTCTTAACTTCAGCGCGTAGACCTGATGGAGCTCCGTGTCCATCAACTTGGTTCATCCATGGAGTCTAACGCGCTGTATATTTTCATTAAGTCTTCTTGAGCTGAATACAAAAATACAATAACAGATAAACACAATATTCAAGCTGCGTCAATGAAACAATACGAGATATTTTAGCTAGTCGTTGATAACATGACAAAAAAGCCTACTTTAATTGCTATCAGGTTCTCATTTGCTTATCCGATACTTACAGAAAAGTATTTTTATTTGATTTTCTAATAAGTGATCACTTTCTGGTTCTGGTAGTCCGGGTTGTGGCAGCGGTGACGTAGGCGGCAGTTGTTCCGTAAGCTCCTCGTTCTTGCCAACCTGTGTTTGTAAATTAAACGAATCCAAAATAAAAAATTTTACAGCAATACTAAGAAACGTAAAGGGTCAATCCGCTATGTTAACTGCCCAAGCTGCAGTTTATCTCAAATTACTGTAGTGAACATTTCTTACATTTGGTTTGTTCGAATCTTCCTCTTCGTCACCGCTTAAAACATAGTCTGGCCCTAGCCGCTCAATACAACTGGCAACTGTAACAATACACACACACAGTTATATTCAGCAATTTTTCATATCGAATAAACACCATTTCAAATTTTGAAGGAATAATTATACTTACTTTGCTCCTCCAAACTAGCGTTTATACGCTTGTATTCCTCAGCGGTTTTTTCGTTTATAAAATATTGTATTGTGTGAAGGAGCAAATTGGGAATTTATATCTAAAAAAACAGAAAACATTTTTTTATAAACATCAAACTCCATTTGTCTACTAAAAAAAAAGCACAAGGTTTTATACCTTCCAATTCTACCATCAAACCACATTGATGGCAGTATAGCATTTTATAGTCAATGGTTATCTAGACATAGTGTGTGTGTTAGTAAAAGTAATATTGCTTATAATACTCATTGGTTATTTACGAACCAATCACAAAGGGGTACCGAATGCACCTCTCTAGGTCCACCGCGCCTTAGTCTGCAATATTTTAAATCTTTAGCTGTTGTGAGTTTTTGGTTGCTGGCCCTGACCCTAAGAAGTCTTAACTTCAGCGCGTAGACCTGATGGAGCTCCGTGTACATCATCTTTGTTCGTCCATAGAGTCTAACGCGCTGTATATTTTCATTAAGTCTTCTTGAGCTGAATACAAAAATTCAATATCAGATCAATACAATATTGAAGCTGCGTCAATGAAATAATACGAGATAATTTAGCTAGTCGTTGATAACATGACCAAAAAGCCTACTTTAATTGCTATCAGGTTCTCATATGCTTATCCGATACTTACAGAAAAGTATGGGTATTTGATTTTCTAACAAGTGATCACTTCCTGGTTCTGGTAGTCCGGGTTGTGGTAGCGGTGACGTAGGCGGCAGTTGTTCCGTTAGCTTATCGTTCTTGCCAACCTGTGTTTGTAAATTAAACGAGACCAAAATAAAAATGTTAACATCAATACTAAGAAACGTGAAGGGTCAATCCGCTATGTTGACTGCCCAAGCTGCAATTTATCTCAAATTACTGTAGTGAACATTTCTTACATCTGGTTTGTTCGAATCTTCCTCTTCGTCACCGCTTAAAACATAGTCTAGTCATAGGACTATTACATATATATTGTTACAGTTGCCAGTTGTATTGAGCGGATAGCCGCTCAATACAACTGGCAACTGTAACAATACACACACACACAATTATGTTCAGCAATTGTTCATTTCGAACAAACACCATTTAAAATTTTGACGGAATGATTATACATACTTGGCTCCTCCAAACTAGTGTTTATACGCTTGTATTCCTCAGCGGTTTTTTCGTTTATAAAATATTGTATTGTGTGAAGGAGCAAATTGGGAATTGATATCTTAAAAAAACAGAAAACATTATTTTATAAATATCAAACTCCATTTGTCTAATATAAAAAGCCCAAGGTTTTATACCTTCCAATTCTACCATCAAACCACATTGATGGCAGTATAGCATTGTATGATCAATGGTTATCTAGACATAGTGTGTGTGTTAGTAAAAGTAATATTGCTTATAATACTCATTGGTTATTTACGAACCAATCACAAAGGGGTACCGAATGCACCTCTCTAGGTCCACCGCGCCTTAGTCTGCATTATTTAATATCTTTGCCTGTTGCGAGTTCTGGTTGCTAGCTCTGAACCTAACAAGTCTTAACTTCAGCGCGTAGACCTGATGATGGAGCTCCGTGTCCATCACCTTTGTTCATCCATGGAGTCTAACGCGCTGTATATTTTCATTAAGTCTTCTTGAGCTGAATACAAAAATTCAATATCAGATAAACACAATATTGAAGCTGCACCAATGAAACAATACGAGATAATTTAGCTAGTCGTTGATAACATGACCAAAAA